TCCCCGGGCGTCGTGGGAGGGGAGTGGGGGCGTGGTGGGTTAGAGCGGGGGCGGGGCGGGAAGCCCGGACTCCTGGGTTCTCTCCCTGGCTCTGGGAGGGGGGAGGGGGGTGGGGTCCCACCCTTGGTTCCTGACCCCCCCTTCCCTTCCATACCCCCCTCCTTAGGTGAACTACACCCAGCCCATCGTGGCCGTCAAGTTCCTCACGCTGGAGGCCAACGTGGAGCACAGCGTGGAGTGTAAGGTCAACGCGGTGAACATCGCCACCACCGACGAGCGGGACAAGTTCGCCGGCCGCGTGGCCTTCAAGATCCGGGTCAACAGGGACTAAGCCCCGCCTCCCCTTCCCCCTCCCCCACCTTTCCTGGGGCTCCACCCCCAAAATGGGCAGGGCTTAATGGAGGAGGAGAAGCCAGTTGCATAAGGGGAGGCGCCCCCAGCACATCCTGGGCGGGGCTTGATGGAGGAGGAGGAGCCTATTTCATCAGGAGGGGGACCTCCTGGGATTTTATTTTATTTTTTGGGAGGGGGGTCCTGCTGAGAATCCTAGGATAACTAACCTGGCTTTTAGGCTGTTTTAGTGACCTTCCCTGTGCCCCCCCCCAATTCTGCCCCCCCCACCGCAAAACGTGCTGATTACACTGAAGGGTCTGGTACCACCCTACACCCCCCCCCACCTTTGGAATGCTACATTGCTTTGATCTCTTCTAATGCCCCTTCCCCCCCTTTTTTGGGGGGGCAGCTCAGAGCCTGTGACCCCCCCCTTTCCCCTGCCCCTTGAAATCCCGTTGAGATGTTTCCTAATATAATAATAAATGTATATAGATATTTTTTATATATATATATATTAAAAATTAAGGTACGGCCGAGACCTCTATTTTTCCCCCCCGTGTAGCCCCCCACACACACCTGCCTACTCCCCATTTTCCATCCGCCACCCCACACCCCTACAATAGACGTTGAGATTTGGTGCATTGTCTTGAGCCGGCGGCCATTTTGTTTCCTTGACCTAGTAGGTGCCTAGGGTTGAATGGAGCGATGTAGGCCGGGAATTGGAATGACCCCAGTTCGGTGGCCAACCATACGGCCGCCGTTGACCCGGTAGGTTAGAAAACAAAATGGATGAACAGCGGCTGTCCTATTGTGGGATAGCAGCCCTTGTCTGTGGAGACCAGGAATCAAAATGGCCACCGTTCCGCAGCCAACGACCTGGCTGCCCTTGTCCGTGGAGACCTGGAATCAAAATGGCTGCCATTCCGCAGCCAACGACCTGGCAAGCCATTGTCCATATAGGCTATGAATCAAAATGGCTGGACAATAGCTGCGGAATGTCCGCCATTTTGACCCCTGCCCTGCAAAAGAGACACGGTGGCCGTCGTCTGGGTAGGCCTGGAATCAAAATGGCTGCCGTCGGCTGTGGAAATGTGGCCATTTTGTTTCTTAGCTTCTGTGGCAAAAAGTCTGGCCAACTTGACTGGGGCATGTGGGCCAGGAAAGAAAATGGCCACCATTTTCAGCCTACATTTGGCTCGGTCTGTGAAGAAACAAAATGGCCGCTGTAATCAAAGGCTTGACATAGCCTCTGAGGAAGGGTTGCCATTTTGAGACTGTGGAATGGTGGCCATCTTGGATTAATGGCCTGTGTGGCTAAAGGCTGCCATGTTGGTCTGTGCAATAGTGGCCATCTTGGATTCCTGGCCGACAGAACTGAGGCCGCCATGTTGGGCTGTAACCTTTTCTAGCACCTCCTTCTGATTCGTACCCCTGCTCCCTACCAATGTGACCCCTTTCCTCATCTTAGGGTCTGTCTTCCTCTTTTAATGTACAGTTATTTTTAATCTGTCTTTTCGCTTAATGCGGCATATGCACTGAGACAAGACTTGCCCCCCCACCCCAGCATCCTGGGAAATTCCTTGCACCCCCTTAACTCTGCCGTTGAAACAGCTGATGCAAACGTTGCCTGTATTAGACTCCTGCCTGATCTCTAGTCTTCTCTGCTGCTGTCTGTAAACCATAAGAGAAACAATTCCCTTTTATTTGGAACTGGAAGTAATTTTAAAAAAATAATTAAATCCTTCTTGTCTCCCCCCCCCCACCCCAATTTTCCTAATGCTGCATCCTTGAGATCACTGTGTGAATGAAATAACTTAACTCCTTTGCTTTTTAACTTTTTTAATTATTATTATGGTTCGTTTTTATTTGCAGAATTATTTAATTGCCTGTATCAAATCTACTGTAAAAGATGAGGAGAAATAAAACAAAAAACCCACCCTTTAAAAACTAGAGATGGTAACGGAGTGTTTAATTTTCAACGTGGAGTGTTTTAGAATTGGTGGAACTCAACGCAACATGGTACTGAGGTCACAGATGGGATATTGAAAGCCATAGATGGCAGTGGAGTGTGTTTAGAGCCTGTGGAACTCACTGCAACAAGGTACTGAGGTCACAGATGGGATATAAAAGCCCACGTGGCCTTACTACAATTGTACTTAAGTTGGAGCCCAGTGTAATTTTGAGGCCTAGTCCTGGCTCTCTGACTAGGTAAGTCCCTTTCCATCTCTGCGTGCCTCAGTTTCTCCAGCATTACAGTGAGGACACTGATTCTGAACCCCCTGTGTAAAGCCCTTTGAGGTCGGCTGTTGAGCAGAGCTATGGATTATTAATTAAAGTAACTCATAATTTACCGTGATAGCGTCTGATACCAAAGTATCTGAGGTTTCAAAGTATCTGAGGACTTTGTCACCTTCAGTTGGTTTCTCTTCCCATGAGGTAGGGGGGATATGATCCCCATTATACAGAGGGGCGAATCATTCCCCCAAGAGCCAGATTGGAGCCACTGTGGTGTCCTCCCCAGCTTCCCCTCCCCACCGACAGAGAGATTGCTGGAGCAAATATTGGAGATCCCACTTCTCACACCAATGTCCCTTGGCACAGGAGGGAGAAGATGGGCTGCAACTAATTGGGGGTGGGGGAAGGCGGATCTTTGGGTAGGGGTGGGGCTCGAACATTGATGGGGGAGGGGCCTTCTATGTAAATGGGTAGGGCCAGCACATAGGGGGCAGGGCAACGCAGGAGAGGGGTGTATGTCTTGCTCTTCTCATTATGGCCTTTTTTTTTGACCCCGAGGAAGGGGGATGCTGTCTTTTGTTCTTCGACACAATGGCGGGGGCTGGGAGCCAGGACTCCTGGGTTCTCTCCCTGGCTCTGCGAGGGAGGGGGAGAGGTTACTGCAACACCAGAGAAAGATCCGGTGTTGGTGGTGGTGGGAATTGACATCATCCCCTCCCCAGGGGGGCCCCTCCCATCTATTTCCCAAGACCCTGTTCTTTTTTGGGGGGAGGGGGTGAGGGACTTTCCCCCCTGGCATCTTGGGAAGAATTTTCTCCCCTAGTAACCTACATAATTTTTTTCCCTTGGGTGAATTTAATCTGCCTCCGATCATTTTAATCCCCCCGCCCCCATTACTGTGCCTGGGCCAGGCTGGACAGATTGCCTTGCGTTAATCTTCCTGCGCTGCTCAAACCCTTGCGAGGGGAGGGGCCTGGATATGAGGGAGGGGTCCTAGAGCTGGGGGTCCTGCCCCCCCCCCCCCCGCTGCAGGCAGGGCCGGCTCCTGGCAGGTGCCTGGGGCGGCCACTCCGGAGAGGGGCGGCACGTCCAGCTGTCGGGCGGCAATTCGGCGGACGGTCCCTCACTCCTGCTCCGAGCGAAGGACCTCCCGCCGCATTGCCGCCGCAGATCACGATCGCGGCTTTTTTTTTTTTCTTTTTCCCCCTCTCTGCTTGGGGCGGCCCAAACCCTGGAGCCGGCCCTGGCTGCACGGGAAAAGGATCTGCCAGCGCGCCGGGGGCTGCAGGGACACAGAGCGAGAGACGGGCCCTGCGGTGGGGGCTGGGAGCCAGGACTCCTAGTGTTCAGCCCCACTATGCCCATACGCCCTGACCCCCCGCACACACACACACCATGGGGTTGGCTGGTGCCACACAGTGTGGGGGTGGGGGAGCTGTTCCCGGGAGGGTGTCTGGGCAGGCTGCCCTGGTGGGGGGCACATTGTGCCTGCTGTGAGGGGAAGGGACGTAGCCTCATGTGCCCCCGGCACTGGCCAGCCAGACTCAGCCCAGCCTGCACAGACGCCCGGCCTGCTGCCCCCTCCTTGGAGCCTCCGCCGGATCAGCTCCTGGCCCCCACGGCTCCCCTCCCCGCAGGTACCCCAGCCTCCCGCCCAGCCTCTCCCTCCCCCCCCCCCCACAGCCCTGCTCCCCTCCCTCCCCACCATCTGCCTGGACCTCTACTCCCCTCCCCGCAGGTACCCCAGCTCCCGCCCAGCCTCCCCCCCACACACCCTGCTCTCCACCCTCCCCCCATCTGCTCGGGTCCCTCTGCTCCCCTCCCCGCAAGTACCCCAGCTCCCGCCCAGCCTCCCCCCC